ATACCTTTGAGTATCTAAATCAGTCGCAACTTACTTTAAACCGGTTACCCCAAACGTCAAACGCTAACGCTTTGAACTGTGGTGACTTATGTAGGGGGTTTACGAGCAACTTGCTCGCTGAGCGTAGAGGTACCAGGTATCTGAGTTTACATCTTGTTGTTCTTTATATCTTTACAGCAGCTCATATGTAACAGACCTCAACTACTCTCCACTAACTCTACTAGCTAACACATCGGATTAAATAACCAAATTGTGGACGTGTTTGGGTTAGCTGACCATGAGACCCTTCCACTGCATATCCTGTCGCTGAACTTGTGAACGATAGAATAGTCTACACAGTCGCAATTAACAAGTACTAAAGAGCCAATTGAATGCTAGAGGTAAAACTGCCCGCTAGGACCAAGCATACAAAACAGGAACTTCATTGGAGGCAAAACTCAAGGTCAGCTATAATCCTCGAACATGCTTACTTCAAAGAACTACAATAAGTTTAACAAATCCTTTAGATAGACGATACTTCTCAAAACTCAGGAACTAACCGTGTGGCCTATACATTAAATTTCCTTGGACTATGAACTGTTTATTAAGAAACTAGCACGTGCTACAAAATAATCATTCGGATAGAAAAACCTTAAAATTACCAAAACTCCAAAACAGAACTAACAGCAACTACTTCATAACATTCCTCCCTCCTTAGAAGAAGCATCGTCCTCGATGCAATTGGACGTATATGAATGAAAAAGTAAGGAACAAACGTAACTAGCGGAAGAACACTAAGGAAAATTTGAAAAAGTACGGAGAAAATAATGCGAAATATCAAAACGACTATAAAACTACCACTAATATTAATCAAGAGTTCAACGTTAAATATCAAAAGTAGATGAAAGTTCTCGAATCCTGAGTGCTTGAAAACAAATGCATGTAGGAGCAAAGGCCATTGACAGCTACAGAGGTAGTACTGACTGCAGTTGATATTTGCTTGAATCTTGAGAAACCAGCTTACGATGATGCTCTGGTGGTTCTCCAGAGCACAAACCTTGCACTTTCTTATTATGAAGGAGAAACTGTATCGACCACTGAGGAGGCAGACTGGAAAAGACGTGTTTTCCTGTCTTTGTGCTAGAAATTTATGGATGACAAGCAGTTACACATTGTGAAGGAATTGCTCTCTCAAGTTGGGAACATTGATGTATTTGGTAGAGATGTGGTAAACGCCCTTTACAATGAATTAGTTGTCGCTTTGACCAACAATAATGAGCCATATGTCACTAAAGAAATTGTTAAAATAATGGATGCAAATTCAATTTTAGTAGATTCAGAAACAACAAGAGCTCTTGTGAGGGGTTTTGGAGCAGTAGGATTTGGAGCACAAGCAAGGTAACACTTCTCGAATGGTTGCGATGCGGGTGTTTATACAGACTCCTTCAAAAAAGATGATCCATGGACATTGGAACTAGTTTTCCGGCAGTTGAACACAGCCAACGTTTTAAATTCACGTGTGTTTTGACTTCTCCTCTTCTCCACTTATGCAGTTCCACTTCACAGGAGTATGTTAATGAAGATTCGAAGAACCATTGAATAAATGATGAATTACCATTGCAAACAAGTTAACAAGATAGCTACAGAAAAGGACTACAGCTATCCAATCACCTAACACGTACAGCTCAACAAAATAACATAATACCCATCTCAAACAAAAACTAACGATCAAAATCAAAAATCTTCATTTACACTCGACATTATTTAGCTTGACGGGTCGTATATAAACAGCAGCACTTAAAAAGTACGGACATAATAATCTTAGCTGAGGCATGCACCGAAGAAATAAACGTTTCTTGAGAATTAACAACATCATCATCTAACTGAACATCCTTAAAAGGAAGAGGATCAGACTCAGGGAAAAAAACTCAGCGTTCCATTTTCAAAATCAACCGTGAAACAAAATTTTTGTAGAAAATCTCTACCAAGAATTACGTCACAAGTCAAATCCTCAATCACGTGCGCCTCGAAGGGAAAAGCATGAAAATCAATAACAAATTCCACCAACAACTTCCCAATTGTAGTCAGTTGACACCCATTTACTGAAGTCTCACATTCTGAACTACACTTTTCCAGACTCGGAAAAGCGTGACTCAAACACTCACGCCACACTTTTGCGCTGACTGCCGTGACAGCAGCCCCAGAATCTATCAAACAATAAAAATTGTGACCTGCTATACTAATAGGTAAAGTAGAATTTTCGGCCACGAAAGGAACACAAAAACTATTAACCGTATCTAATTTTAGTTTATCCCCAACACTAAAAAGATTGCAGAGAGAGAGAGGGCTGTCAAGAATTCATCGACAAAAATAAATTTGGGAAAAGTGAAAAGAAGTATAAGTAAAAACACAAAACACAAACCCAGCAGCAAGGCAGACTACAACAAACTATAGACTAAGATTATTTTGGCGACCGAAGATAATTATCAATGAGACGTTTATCCAAAATATTTTCTTCCGGTTCCCACGATGATTGGCTCTTAGGAAAATTGAGCCACTTGACCAAGTACTCGACCTTCCCGTTCCTTTTTCGATGTTTTAGAATTTTTTTCTGCACTAAACACAGTTTTATTGTCGATAGCAATTGCTTCCGGAGTTGATTCTTTTGAATTTTGAAGTTGATTCTTTGTCTTTTTGCGGTATGATTCTTTGTTTGACTCGTTCTCTTTTTGAGGCTGTGGGGACAATTGCGTCTCAATACTTACTGGATTTAAGTCAGTGTTTTTAGGATCCGCTTCAGCAGAAATTGGCTGAAAACAATCTTTTGGAATAACAGATTCATTAATGTACGGCTCGGCAGGGTCATCAAAAGGCGGAGGGTCAATTGGTCGCAAATTAGGATCAAGAAATGGCTTCATACGATTTGCGTGACACGAAAAAGCAACTTTTTTATTGGTGATCGTACGCAACTTAAAATGAACCGGTGACAATTTCTCAACAATTCTGTAAGGACCCAACCAATTATGCATTAACTTTCTGGATAACCCTTTTCTAGTTCTCGGGGTATAAACCCAAACACGCTGTCCAACTTCAAAAACAGGTTCTTTTGTCTTTTGATCGTAATAATCCTTCATTTTTTGTTGTGCACGTTGTAAATTTTCTCTCGCTAAATTTTGAGCCAATTCGACTTTTTCGACAATACGTTTTCGATAGTCAAGGACCGAAGTACTCAAATCATCAGCCGCAGGAGGCAAATACTTAACGTCAATTGGTAAGCGTGGCTCTCGCCCATAAAGAACGTAAAAAGGAGAATCCCCAATTGCATCTAAAACAGAAGTCCTATGCGCAAACAAAACAAGCGGTATGAACTCGTCCCAATCTTTCTGGTTTTTGGAAATGTACATTGACAAAGACTGACACAAGGTAGAATTAAACCTTTCTACAAGACCATCGGTCTGTGGGTGATAACTAGAAGTATTGACCTTTTGAATTTGAAATATTTTACAAACTTCTGCAACGACCTTAGATAAAAAGTTAGTTCCAATGTCAGAGAGCAACACACGTGGAGCCCCATGTCTAGAAATAATTTCATCAATCAAAAGACGTGCAATAACAGTTGCTTCGACACTAGGCACTGGGAATGCTTCGACCCAACTAGTTAAATAATCACTAAAAACCACAATATACCTACTGCCTTTACTAGAAGGTGGAACTACGTGGAACTACTCTTTGTTTAAAGAAACTGCATTTCTTAGGATTCAACTTAACATTGGCGTCACGCAACCTTCTAAAAACTTCCTCAAAATGGACTAAATGCTCATCTACAGACTTAGAGAAAATGATAATATCATCGATATAAATCAAAGCAAAACGATATTCCAAACCTCTCAAAATATGACCCATAAGCCTCTGAAAACTGGCTTCTTCATAAAGGCCATTGTGCGTTGCAAATGCTGTCTTTTGTTTCGAATCCTCCTGCATTTGTATTTGCCAAAAACCACTTTTTAGATCCAACACGGAAAACACGCTTGCACCAGCTAAAGAATCTAGTGCATCAGCGACTAAAGGCGTTGGAAAGCTATCTACCTTAGTGACTTTATTAACTTTACGAAAATCAACACAAAATCTAAATGACCCATCCTTCTTTTTTACCAAAACAACTGGAGAGCTCCAAGGAGAAATAGACTCTTGAATTATTCCTTTTTCAAGCATTTCGTCTACTTGACGGTCAATTTCTTTTTTAACGTCAGGAGATACTCTATACGGCCTTTGCTTAATAGGCATAGCATCACCGGTATCAATGACATGCTGTACAAGGGATGTTCTACCCAACTGATCCCCAGGAAAAGCAAAAACATTACGAAATTTATTAAACAAATTCTTAAACTTTACTCGCTCATTATCATTCAAAATACTATTCGATAAATCAGGAAACTCTGAATAATCTTTTGGCTGTTGCTGAACATCTGAAGAATTATGTTGAGCATCCGAAGAAATGGACTTTTTGCCAATCTCAAATGTTGCTAAATCATTATCAACACGCTCAAAATCTGTCAATTTAGTCCTACGAAAAATTTTTAACTGGTTGAGCGGAAGGGTTTACCATCCTAACAGGAATAGTTACATCACTAGAAACCTTTACGAGCTCTGACGCTCCAAAAACTGAGTAACGGTGAGGCAAATCAGACTTAGGCATGACCAATCCATAAATTTCACTGGCACTTGTGTTTACACCTTTCGGCATTGAACTTAACCTCCCAACGACAACGACTTCTGATTGAGCGGGAACAGTAAAAGAATTATCAGCATGCACCGACAAAATACAATTATCAAAAACTTCAGCATCAAAATGATCACCAAAACTATCAGCAAAGGGGAGGGGATCCTCGGGGTGGGAAAATTCAATTATGTTTTCCATAAAATTAATTATCGAACAATATTTTTGAAGAAAATCTCTGCCCAAAACAACGTCATGAGTCAAATCTTTGATAACATAGGCTTCAAAAGTAAAAACGTCCGACTTAAGAACCACTCACAGACGTTACACGACTGGTCGAAGAGGAATCTAAACAACAATTTTTATGACTAAGATACTTGTCCCAAACTTGAGAACTGATTGCTGTAACAGCTGCTCCGGTGTCAATAAGTGCAGGAAATTTAAAATCTTCTATCGTTACAGATACATCAAAACTGTCACCCTTGAAAGGATAAATAGAATCAAGTCTATAGGAATTGGTAGGCAAAGAAACACTGTCAGTCACGTGCGACCCAGCCTCAGGGTCACTCGAGACAGATAAGCCATGACACGTTTTAGAAATAACAACTTTAGCCTCAACGTCATTTACTTTCAACTTGTTTTCATTTTTAAACTCAGGAGCCAATCCTTCTTTCGACTCTCCAACTTCTTGAGATACATTGTCATTTAAGGACCTCTCGTAATCTATTACTCGGTTGGGAGAAAACACAGAAATATTTGAAGACTGAACAATCTTGCTTTCCTTCGGCAATGAGCCAGCGACTACATGTTCACATCTTGTTATGGCTTGCGAAAGACACTTAATAACTTCAATCAAAATATTTTCATTAGGGACATTTTGAGGTTGGCAGTCTTGAGGACACCCATGTTGACATGTGACGGAAACTTGAGGTTTAAATATTTTAGACTTTGGCGTAACAATAGGCTCACAGGGATTAGACACAACATGGCCAAACTTTTGAACATTCTTTTTAATAACACCTTCGGCCGAATTTCCAGAGTTACTGAAAGCACATTTATCAGAACTAGATCCGACGGAAGAATGGTTATTACTTGTAGAATTTTCAAGCGCCTCCATCACGGGTTCACTACCACACACGATAGGGGCGCCAGCCAGTTTAACCGAGCGCCAATTTTTCCCTGATTAAAAACATTTTGCTTATCGTTTTTCCGATGCAAGCGTTTAAAATTAAGTTTGAACTTTCTGTATCTGCCCAATTTCGGCTTTTTATCAACAACAATGCCTCCACAATGGACAGGAAAATTGCATGATCGAAATTTCCGATTAACACGTCGATGTTTTTCGTTATTTTGGGAAGTCTCAGTCCATACATTTAATTCGTCTCTGACAATTTGTTTGATATCCTCTTTTAAGGGATTAGACCTAAACTTCGAATATTCTTCAACTTCTTGAACATTTTGCGATTTACCAAGAGAAATTCTTTTAATCTCGCAAAGTTTAAAGCGGAGTCCACATCAGTTGGCTGTTGCAAAATAACGTGGTCACGTATCTCAGGTCTTAGACCTCGAACAAAACAATAAAGCCATTCACTTTTAGGTAAATTTAGACGAGAGCAGAATGAAAGAATGTCATAATAGTAATCGGCAACAGTCTCTTCTAATAACTGACGACGTTCTTCTAATTTTTGTCTCACCTGCCATAGAGTTACACCTGATTCAAAATGAGAAATTAATTTTTGTGACAATACTTCAAAAGTAAAATTTTCTGAACCCGATAAAGTTTTAAACCATAAGCTAGCGTGTTTTTTTAGAAAAAGGGGAAGACCAAGAGCTAATTTTTCTTCATCCCAACCATTTAATCTACCGACCCGACTATAGTTATCAATAAACTCGCGAACATCTTCTCTTTCGTTGCCGTAAAATAATGGGAATTCAACAGCAAGCCTATACATTTCTTAAATACAAAGTTCTGTCATTATGATTTTGCCTTACACATACGACTTTCCACCCACATACGACTAAATTTAAACTTAAACAGAGTTCTTAAATGTTTGCAATGGCAACATTCGGCGTAGCACTCACAGACTTCAAAGGCGGATCTTCCACTCCTGACTTGTTTCAAACCATCATGAACAGCAAAATAAGGAATTCTGCACCAAAATAGGCTCAGATTCTCCAACAAAATAACGGGTTCTCCACCAAAATATGTAGGGGGTTTACGAGCAACTTGCTCGCTGAGCGTAGAGGTACCAGGTATCTGAGTTTACATCTTGTTGTTCTTTAATCTTTACAGCAGCTCATATGTAACAAACCTCAACTACTCTCCACTAACTCTACTAGCTAACACATCGGATTAAATAACCAAATTGTGGACGTGTTTGGGTTAGCTGACCATGAGACTCTTCCACTGCATATCCTGTAGCTGAACTTGTGAACGGTAGAATAGTCTACACTGTCGCAATTAACAAGTACTAAAGAGCCAATTGAATGCTAGCGGTAAAACTGCTCGCTAGGACCAGGCATACAAAACAGGAACTTCAGTGGAGGCAAAACTCAAGGTCAGCTATAATCCTCGAACATGCTTACTTCAAAGAACTACAATAAGTTTAACAAATCCTTTCGATAGACGATACTTCTCAAAACTCAGGAACTAACCGTGTGGCCTATAAATTAAATTTCCTTGGAATATGAACTGTTTATTAAGAAACTAGCACGTGCTACAAAATAATCATTCGGATTGCAAAACCTTAAAAATACTAAAACTCCAAAACAGAACTAACAGCAACTACTTCATAGCACTTGAGAAGAAGCTAACCCATACCCTCCAATCTGCACGAGTTTTCTCAATGTTTCTTATGAGCCCTGTTGCCTAAATTTTAGCCCTTGGTAGTTTTATATGGCTTCTGTTTTCTAAGTGAATTTTGAGTTTTTCTATTTATCGAAAAAAAAAACAAACAAACAAACAAGAAACATGTTTCTATTTTCCAGGAGATACAGGCAAATTTTGAAAATTCATCAATCCCTCCTTCGAGACAGAGTGGGAATATAGGCTGCAAAACCCCTACGGGTTCTTATTACTGTTTAAAAGGTTGGTACAAAGAATCGTGCTAAACATTTCGTTGTTATATTAATTCAAAGTTTTGTTAGTTTTGTTTAGATACTATGTTTTCCCTAAACTGTACGAAAAGGGAGAACAATGTAAAAGGTCCAGACAAACAATAATTAAGCATCAATGATGAATTCTACCTTTTTAGATAAAAGCTGAACTGAAATTTAAGCTTATTATTCATTCAAAATATTACTTCGTTTCTGATTGACTCAAATCTGCCAGACATCTGACCGTTGACATGAACCTGAGATGGGAAGGATTTTTTGGCATGGCTCATACATTTTCTCTTTTAAGAGATCACGTTCAAGAAATATTCAAGTTGCGTCATTGTCCTGGGGGAGGTGTATTTAGGGGATTTTGGGTGGGGATGTGCACTTGGGACCCCGTAACCCTTAGCTGTCCTGTACCTAGTTTGCCTGAATTTTGGTATCCTTTTCTTACCCTGCTGGCAGAGTCCCTTCGATTTTTCCTAGAGAAGTCGCGAAAGAGGAAGCGATTCTGCCGACATCTTCAAACTCCTTTGATTTGCCGATCATCCCGCTATTTGGATGAGTCAGACAACTGGAGAAACCAGTTTATCTGTGCACGCACGCGTACTCTGGAGGTTTGCTGACTTTTTCTGCGCCCACTCTCCATAACCCGCTTCAATTTCACGCAGTAATTTTGCGAATATTATCAATTCAACGTTCAGTAAACTGCGGCAGAGCGCTAGTACTGTTTTTAGAAAAATTGGAAAGTGCACCCTGATTTGAGATGAATTTTGTTTTGAATTTAACCGTGTGCTTAGCCGAATTTACTTGCGTAAACGGATCCACAATCCAGTATGTGTTACGCGAAGTTCTTGGAAGCATAAACTAATGTTTTTTTTTTAAATAATTTCTATGTCTATTCTTTTGTGTTTGCTCATTCATAGCATTAATTCAAAATTAGATCATGAGGCTACAGAATCCAAGTTGCATTTAAATGATCGATGCTTTGAATATTTAATTTCAGGCGTATCTGTCACTTGTGGTTCATTTTCCGTGCATTATTTGAAATTTATATGCACATATGTTTTAATGGTTTTCTAGATTTATAATAAAAAATCAAAAATTAAAGATTTTTATAGCTTATTTGCACCTCAGTTTTTTTAAAATGAAAACTTCGAGAAGTCCCGCGGTCGGTAGTTTGAAAGCGAGGTTGAGAGGCTCGGTTACATTTGAATTTGGAGTATGCTCAATATGAACTGTCGAGGATATTGGCAGAGGTCCCTTCCTCTTCCCGACTTAACTAGGAAGATTGAAGGAGACTCTAATTGCAGGGTATCCTTTTCTAGACTCAACTCCCAAAACACCTCCCTGTCAGAGAGACGCTATTTTCCAGAAATTACTGAGGTCGGCGCTTTATTTGCCGTTAAACTGAGCTTCTGGTAAATTTAGATTAGCTGATTTCATTTTTTTGGGCTTAATTTCAGGTTTCCCTAGCCTATAGTAAAATCTTCAACCAACTGATCAGTTTCCTGAAAAATGACAGCCTATTCTAGACCCAAACCCTCTGACTTCTTGACCCTATGCCAGACTGGATTGCTTAAAAACCAAACCCTTCTTAGCGGCACACATATCTATTGGGGGTGCACGGTAACCCTCTACGCAGAAGCTCTTGTGACGAAGCCTTAAGGTGATGCTACACTAATTGCAACTACGATTTTCAGCGCAACACAGCGTTGCAATGTTGGAACAATGTTGCAACCACTCGAAACAATGTCGCAACAAAGGTGCAATGCTCTGTTTTGCTAAAAATCGTCGTTGCGAATCGTCCGGTGTAACATCATCTTAAGAGCGTGTGACTATTAGGTTAGCATCAAGGCGACCTCGGTCAACATCTATAACTGGGATTACCAGTCTCCCTGGCTTTGCCACAAAAACCTGTTTTTATAGCCTCGCATATTTTACTTGAGGTTTATGGAAACTAGTTTCCGCAAATCCCTTGGGATTAAAAAAACTTTACCATCTTTAGACATCTCTTCTTAAATCCAGTTAATGTGGTCCCCAGTGAAATACTAAAGACTCCTGGAAACAAATAAGGGATTCCCTTTGCACATAGGGAACAAACATAGGGAACAATTACATTGTCTATATGGAGGGAAAATCCGCCAACATTGAAGGCTTTTGTTAGGTCCGTTTATATAGACGTTCTACTACATCTTAGTACCGTCGTGTCTCTGTCACGATCTGCACGTCTTTCCACTTATTTTGATTGACTCGTCCCACATCCTGTGACGGAACGGTTGTGGGAGACCAGCACGGCTGCTCCGCACGCGCATCTTTCACGTGCTTGCCTCGTGGTTAGTCAACTGGAAATCGTTACACAGGAAGTGAAAAACGAGAACCAGCATTTTCTAATCGAGTGTTTCTGTCGGGGTAAACTTGCAGGCATAATCTGTCAACAGATCTAATTAGCAAAAAAAAAACAAATTACACGTGCAGCACCCTTTTTTGTCTAATTAACAAAAAAACAAATTTGCACGTGCAGCACGCTTTTTGCCTTTCTTTGCCGTTATTTTGCACAACTACAACGCTGTTTTGCAGGACTAAGGCTGCGTGCAAACGTGCGCAACAACTCCCAACATTGTTGCGCCAACAATGTTGGGAGTTGTTGCGTGCGTGTTGGCAGTAGTGTGCAAACGGATGCAACAACTCCCAACAAGTTTGGGACCTGCAGTGCATCGTGGGAAGAATACAACCCATAGCAATAAAAGGGAGTGGTAGGCCTACACGACTTTTACCTCATGCCAAAATGCTGCTTATTCCAATAAAGTTGTTTTTATCTGCTGGGTAGATTATGCTCTGGAAGGTTCTGCACTTAGACTGAGCGAATGTGATTTTAGCCGCATGTTTCACACTGAGAGGTCATGACATACATATCGATTGACTGTAGTTATTGTTTTCTGGTCGGCAGGATTTGCCCTCTGATGCAAGCGCATTTTCTTTGACCTCTTTTGAAGCGTAAAGCCTTCTTTTTATTACGGC